TTAAAAACGCTCCGTTGCTGCTTCCCAAGATAGCTCACGTCGTGTTATCGGTCAATGGGACAGGCTCTTCACTCAGTGCCTCGCGTGTGACTTCAACAAATCGTTTCATCGTCATATATTCGGCAATTTGGAAACTGCTTGAAGAAGTCGTTTAGAGGGGTGATTGGCACAAACAACAATCTTTCCCATGGCCAACGCTTCGGCTGTGGTGGTGCAAACAACATCTGTGGTACTAGGATTCAAGAAGACTTTGTAACTGAAAAGGAATCCAAGGGAAAAATTTACGATTCATTCATCAACCGGACCTAAAAATGGGATGGGACGGTGTGAGAACGAAGGAGGCTTACTCGTGGAATAAAGGATCAGCATGATCACGACCAGGATGCACTCTAACCGTCAGTTTCAGCTTGCTAGCAGCTTCCTTAACTTGATCGGAGTCCTCTCCGTTGCCATATAGATCAACTTCAAGACCAACGAGCTCCTTTTGGTGATCATGTAGTAGTTTAAGTAGTTCTCCATAGCCTTTGCTCCAAATCATCTTCCCAATGTAGTAATCCCCTTTGGTGAAGGCCTGGTTACTGCCATGTTGTTGCTCAAATCTTTTCTTGCCTATCTCGAGGAACTTGGTATTAACTCCATGAACATTACAGACGATGGATCTCGGATAATCCTGGTAGCAGCAGACAACCTAATTACCTGCAATTACACACGATCGCAATTTGATGAAGTTAATTATAATTTATAAATCAACACATGGAAACTCAAGGAAATTCAACTTTCTTCTCCCTCCCAGTTCTCCCCTTGCTGGCAGTGATCCTATCCCGGTTAAAGTAGGAAGAATACAGCACCCAAGGCAAAGTGAACAGAAACTACCTTCTTCCTTGGATAATCTAAGCTTTTCACAAATTTATTCTAGTACGCAAAAGTGCAAATTTTAATCCTAAAATAACACATATCTTTAACAGAAAAGGGGCAAAAGTTACATTAATGTTTTACAACCAGGATGAAAATCAAGACTTATTAGGAAACTTACCTTATGGCAATAGATGTTTACAACCCAACTATTTACATATTTCAGAAGAAATGCTTGGAATTGTCCATTTTTTTCTCTCTTCACATATTCCAGATAATTGGTATGTATTATTCCGATGACAAGTCTGAATTTAGTTTTCCATCTCTTCCCATGATGGAACCATGTAAGATGCTCAGGTTCTTCAAGGACAGCAATATCCGCCTCTTCATCGAGGATGATTTCCGAGATATCTCCTACAGGAAGAATGCTTCTCTTATCTACAGCAAACTGCATCACAAGTGGAGTGATATCATAAATTACCATCAGATTACTACTACGCTACTCAAATGATGGTTCTAATGTCTAAATAAACACTGAAGACATCAGCCAAATGCTGCACGAGTACACAGAGACATCATACATTCTAACAGATTAGCATTCCAATAGATGTGGATAACATAAAATTAGGTAGGTACATTTATTTATTTTTAAATCCACAAGTCATTTAGAGACATTAGGAAGTTTGGATGATCAGAACATATACGATACAAGATAAAGTGGCGGAGCCTACCATGTAAATAAACGCATTAATACTTCAGGAAAAGATAAGATATGATTACAATTCTAGGTAAAAAGCCTGATAGGAAAAATAAAAGCTTATTATGATTACCTTTCCAGGATAAAAGCGGATAGTGAAACCAGAAATAAATGCAATCCTCTGGTCAAGCCATTGACGAATATATGACTCCTGCTCTGAAGGTGAACCGAAAGTAGTGTTGTTTGGGTATACTAGTTTTTGATCTTTCAAGGATAACCAAGGAATCACCAATGTGATCTTTCTCTCTCCATTTTTGGCAAGATAAGCAGCTCGAAACAATGGGTTAACTGCAGTTCCAGTCATCCATGGCAGACTTGCTGTTGTAAAAATTGCAATATGCTGTTTTCTATCCATTCAGGCATCAGCTTTAAATTATCAACCAACAATTTCAGCACGGAACCAACACAATCAGCTTATAATATAGAGAGGCTGGCCTTTCTAAAACCCAAAGTAATATCTACAACTGCATCAAAAATTATAAAAGCACAAGTATTAGCTGAAATGCAAAAGAAAATTGGAACAAGAGTCGAGCAACCAAAATATTCTTACCTAAAATATAAAAGCTAATAATAAAATTGGAATTCCCATAAATAAAACCTAATTTCAAATCCACTCCACCATATTCCCATCTATAGCTTAAATTATGCTAGCTTTAGGTTTTCTTTTTTTAATTTAAAAGAACAGTTTGAGCACCAACAATTGCAACAGCAGGGTGATTGAAAGTTCGTTGTCAAAGGCTGAGAGATTTAGAACAATACTACTTTGTAATTACTTAGCTTTCAAAAAAAAAAATTAAGTTGAACGTGAGTCCTAAACGAACTAAGAGTGAGATACTAAAGTCCTTCCTAATCCTAGGACACGAAATCATATTAATGAAAGTTTAAACGATAAAAATGATTTTTTTGGTAAAATAACGGAACATTAAAAAAATATGATAAAGGATATTTGACAATCTTAATCAATGATCTGAACTATTAACTAATAACTTCAGGAGAGGAAAAAAAAGGCATGAAACAGAGAGATTCCAGGATAGCTACCTCGACACGAAACCATGAGAAGCAAGAAAATCAGGGAGATTCTATATTCAAGGATCACTCTAACATTAGTTCATTTTCTTTCTCCTTTTTTTTGCTAAAAATTACGAGCACGAAAATCTTCAACCAATCATATATATGAAAATAAACAGAAATCATAATACCGAGGAATGGAGAAAGCCAGATTGAAGAACAAAGCAGATCGATGAAAAACAAAGATAGGAAGGAGTAAAATTTACCTGTATTTTAATTTGTTTTTCCTTGTAAGCGAACTCGAGACTTCGAAGTTTGTGGAAATGAGAACCAAGGAGGAGATTTTGACAAGAGAATATGCTTTTGGGTTCGCCTGTTTTATTAATTAGTTATGGGTAAATTACACCGTTTCCTCACTAAAGTTTACTCTCTCTCCTATTTTACTCATTATACTTTTCATTTTTCTATTTTGCTCACTAAGCTTTACAAATTAAATCATTTAACGGTGTTATGACATGACACAAGCACCAAAACGATTTTTTTAAAAAAAAACTCAAATATGTACCAAAACAACGTCATTTCGAATCATCTTCTTTCCCCATTGTCGTCGTCGATCACCACATCATTTTTCATTCTAACCACCATCGATCGTCGTTGATGGTGATTGTTTGATCCCAAAATTCATGGGTCATTTCATCTTGACCCCCTGAGTCTAAATCTGATTGTTGTTTCATTGGAAAATATCCCAAAATTTGTGAATCAAGACTGAAATGTTTCAACTTCTTCACTTTCAATCTTCGATTCGTGGACTTCAAAGTAAGTTATGACAAAATGGAGGTCGGATTTAGATTCAAGGTGTCGAGACAAAATGACAAATGAAATTTGGGGTCGAACGACCACCATCTAAGACGGTCGACGTTGAAATCCAACCACCTTCTATTATTAGTTTATAGTTGGGTGAGCAAAATAGGAGAGTGATTAAATTTCAGTGAGGATCGATGTAATTTATTCTTTATATTTTCAATTATTTTACATTAAATAATAATTAAAAAATGGCATGTCATCACACCATTAGAGAGATAACAACAAAGTGAACAAAATAATTCAATTTGTCAAGTTCAACGAGCAAAATAGAAAAATTGAAAGTATGGTGAGTAAAATAAAAGAGTAAAATTCATTAGAAAAAGGTATAATTTACCCTAAATAAATATTTTCCACAAGTTAGCGAATCATGGAATTATAATTTTGTTAAAGTTAAAATACACCTTATATCAATGAATTGTTAATTCAGAAATATATTTAATCCTTTGTAAATTACAGACAATGGTACTTCTCATTTAATTTTCTATTATTGGAGCTTTCCTTTGAAAACTTATACGCATATTATACTAAAATATTTTTTATTAATCTAAAATAATTATAAAAAATAATATCGAAATATTATCAAACGCACAACTCTTGACATGAAATTCATGCATTGAAGGGTGCTTGTCCATCCAAACTAAAAGCTGTTGAAGAAGTATTTTTGTCGTTTGGGAAAAGCGTTGGCATGCACATAACGATCTTAACCCTCAAATTTATTCACCAAAGGATCCGATTTGTTTTATGTCTAAATTATATTATTTTTTTACGAATAGATGTGTAAAGTTTTTTAATCTTTATTTTATATTTAAGTCTTTTGTTTTCTACATGGCCCAGTTTGTTGGCTCCATCCTTTTATTTTACATATTAAATATATATTTCGTATTTTATGTATTTTGTAATATTTTTATTTAAAATTCATGGTTTCTTGATTAATATTTATTCGATTTTATCAGATACTATGAAAAGTTAAAATAGCTTTAATTCAATTTCATGAATGGAATTGAATAATTATTGATTTGTTGATTTAAATATCTTTATTGGATTTATGGAGGATTGTTGAAGGTTGGATTAAATTTGAGAACATCTCCCATAACATAAAACAAAGAAAGAAACAGCAAGGATATGCTTTTCTTAAATTGATGGAACGTAAGAAAGGAGATGAAGCTGGGGAAATTTTAAGGATAATTTAATTTAAAGTTAAAAAACGACTGAAATAAATATAACGAAAAATGTGATAAAATTATAATGTTTGAAGTTACATTCAATTTAATATATTATATTTTCATTAATATTTTATTTTTTATCATATTTTTATTATTTTTTAATCTTAAATTAGATTATCGTATCACATAACTGCATGTACTTAGGCGAAGATCTTCACTTATGAAGATGAAAATATCTAAATAAAAGGATAACTGAACGACACGTGTTTTCTTTGATGAAATGCTTGAAAGGGGCACAACCGTGGCTGCTGGTTGTGTTATTCAACAATAAAGAGGTATCTGTAAATACTGTTCTTTTACCAATCTGTACCCAGTTCTCTTGAAAGGAAGAGTTTGTCAATGTACAAAATTACAGTACCGGATGCCGCGACATAGTTTTGCATTTGAATTCTCGCCGACGCCTCGTCTTCATTTAGTTTTTTCATTAGCTGTGCCCTTGTCGGAAGGGCATACATCCCAGCTGCCACAGCTTTCCGGATTGCCCAGCCACGGTGGGGTGCAAACACCTGAGCATAGGCCTTAGAAGCCGGATCTCTTAAGGAATTACCCTCTGTAGCTAGAATTTTTTCGAAGAGGACCCTGATCATGTCAAGACCGCGTTTCACTCTCAAAAGGTTTCGTGTATGACACCCGGCTTTCCTCACGCAGTTCCGTTCTATATCCCCGTCAATCATTGCATTTAGCGTCACAATCGACTTTGATGCCTCTGCAAGATCATCAACCTTAGCAACGTAGTCCATTTCCTCAAACTTGAAGGCGATGCCTAAACAACCAAAGAGGGGAGAAACGAAAGAACATGCGCGTGAGAAAGGGGCCACCTCCATATCCGCCGTTTGAGAGTTCACCGTGGCTGCAAGTTCCTTCAAGGCCTCGGCGATTTTTCTCAGTGTCTTATCGCTCTCCGCATTTGCCATTGCTGATCAAATTTTATGTAATACTAGTGAGTAAGCCACCTGGTACCAATGCAAACTAACATGTTACGAAGAGAGACAATATGGTAAAATTAACAAGAAGCCTACATCAATAGATATTCCAGAGCTATAGAAGATGAATTAAGAAGCAACACCGATAAACCGACGAGGCAAGTAAGTCTTCTTCTTTTTCGAACTTGAAGGCGATGCCTAAACAACCAAAGAGGGGAGAATCGAAACGAAAGAACATGAGCGTGAGAAAGAGGCCACCTCCGTATCTGTCGTTTGTGAGTTTACCGTGGCCGCAAGTTAGTCGTCGTCTTCTTGTTAACCCCCACAAACCACAAATTCAGTTGATGGCACAACAAAAATAGAAGTAAACAGCTTTATTTAGACAAAAATAATAAAAAAGCAGCCCAATTAACCTACAATTCCAAGTCCTGTAGAATCGATAGTGGATAGTTTGATTTAGTTGGGCTGTTAATATGATGTTAATTGACTACCTAACCAATTATGTATACCAAAATGTGTTCAGTATAAATGAACTATTATTAAATGAAGAGTTCTCTCAACTCTCTTCCTCTGTTTTCTCTTTAACAAGTTGCTCATCTTCCTCCTACTCTCAATCCTTTTTCAATCATTTCACAATTTCATGCGCTTTTCTTTTTACAATTTTTTGTCTCCGACTCTCACAACAAGAAAAAACCAAAACTAGAGCAACACGATTTACAACATGAAAAAACAACCCAAGTCAAACAACAATCAGATCTACGATTCACAATTAGGCAACTCGAAAGTGAAATAAGAGGGGAAATCAGTTCAATTAAATGATAATAGAACCCTAAATTTCCTTACTTTTCACATATTCTCACGGAAAACTAATCACAGAAACATTAAAAAGGTAACATTGAATAAAAATAGAACAGAAAATGTGACAATTAAATACGTAAGTTACCTTCTGAAGCTGCGATCACTTTCATTTTGGGAAAGAGAGCCCTGAGATACTTCGGCAAACGGAATCTAGATAATCTGTCGGTGTATTACACGAATAAACCGACTTTCTTTTGTTCAAGTCAAGTATAGATGCCTTTTGGATTGCATTTGAGAGGTTACTTCTACAATAAGGTTAAAATAAGGTGTTATTGGTTTTGTTATTATTTAAATAATAAAATTGGTAAAAAATTATTTAAAATATTATTATTATTTAAAATATCAATTTTTTTAATATTTCTGGTAAAAGTGCCTAATAATAACAAAACCGATAGCGCTTTATCAAATTCAGTAAAACGTCAAATAATAATAAAACCGGTAAAAATAATAATATTTTCAGTCATTTTTTACCGATTTTGTTATTTAAATAATAATAAAATCGGTAACACTTTTTTTTAGTCGAATATTAAAACTGCAACACATGAACATTTTCACATTTGAGATGGATTTCGATGACATTAGAAATAGGGTAAACTATGTAGTAGTCTTTTCTTTAATTAAATACACTTTATTTCTTTTTATTATCTATAGTTCGATTTAAGTCTTTTAACCGTAAATTTCCATTAAATCATACATGAAAGTTTGATTTGATACTTAAAAAATAAAAAAATCTAAAAAAAACCATGCGTAAAACCCACGTGATTTGATATTTAATATATATATATATATATATATATATTAAAATATATTTTTATTATATAAAATCGTTAATTTTATTAAAAATAAAAAATATTTAGAATTACAATGAAGATTTCTGAGCTGAGCATAACCATAAACGTAAACTAAATTATAATTAATATATTTTCTTATAACTATTGACATAAAAACTAATCACATAATACCATAAAAGGAAAATGTAAAAAAATTTAACCAATGTTCGAACAAAATAAAGATACAAATAAATTTGATTGCATCGGCAAATGAACCACAAAAGGAGATGAAACTACTGAAAGACTGCCGATAAATCACAAATAAGAGTCAATCGACGGACGCAAATCGCGTATCTAAATAAATCTAAGGGTCCAAAGTAGGGAAGATCAACATGATAGCAAATAAGCGACATCTTGATCAATTATGACGATATCAAATTCAACCATAAGAAAAATGATAAACGAAAATAACGGTTAAACGACCTAAAACTACCAAAAGGTAGAGAAAAATGTGTCACAAGACAAAGATATACATGTCATAAAGTCAAAGATAAACTTGTCACAAGATAATATTATTCTTATTAAAAATTAAAAAAAAGATAATTGACGATCAACAACCAGTATTAAAATCGATGTCATCATCGGTTAAAGAAAATAATAAAATAATTTATATGAGTTATAAAAATTGACACAAATTATAAAAAAAATAGAGGAAGACAAAAAACAGATGATGTAGAGAGCCAATAGCTAAAAATATAATTAAATGACTTGAACACAAAAGATATATATATAAATATATTATTCATAATAAAAAATAAATATTAATATCAATATTAACATAAAATAAATATAATAATATGTTGATTTTATTACAATTCATTTAAATTTAGATGTGTTATATTTTTTCATATTTTTTAAAATACACTTTTATTATCGTCAAATTCACATCTACCATTTGACGACCAAATTTATTTACCATTTTTAGTCTACAGATAATTATTCTTGTAATCTCTTTTGCAAAATAACTGATTATAACTCCCCCTTTTAAATCAAAATAGCGAATCGCCCAATTGCCTCGACAATATTTATCTCATCCAAAATAAAAGTGATAGAAAAAACTAAAGACTAAAGTGAATAAGAGAAAATAAATTCAGCGATCAAATATATAAGGATTAATGTATAAATCATTATGTAGGAATAAAGAGAGGGATACTCTCCCGACCTCTAATACTATTAATCAATTTTATAAGTTCACTTGTTTCCTATCTCTTTTATAAAATTATCATTTATAACTCTCTATCTAAACTAAAAGGATAAATCGCTCTCGTCTCGACTATTTCTCCCCATCAAATAAAACCGATGAAAAAATTAACGACAAAGTGGATAATAGTAAACAAATTCAGTGATCAAATATGTATTTAATCCTTTTATTTTTTATAGATAAATTAAGAACAAAATTTAATCAGGAATATCCGAAGGAGGTTTATAGGTGGTGGTGGGTCCACTGAAAAGGCAATGATACACGTGGAAACCAAATCTGTCCTGCACGTTCCAGTTGAATTTTGGTGCCGTTTTGGGGTTTGGCGTAGCTCTATGATCATCATCAAACCATAGACTACTAATTTCTTCCCCTGTACTAAATCCCCAATACTGGAAATTTCAATTCAAAACCCTAAAAACTTCAGTTCCAGTTTTTTTTCTATTCACGTTCGAGTTTCCAGAGCAGTCTCCTGGGTTTTCAGGTAATAATAAGTATCTCTCTTTCTCTATCATTTCTCGTTTCACTTACTTGCCGTTTGCTTTTATAGTTTCTCGAATGTATACCCGCTGTTTGGTTCTCTAGATTCTTTCCTGTTTTTTGAAAAAGAAAGTACTAGCGAAGTAGTTAGTTCCAGCCAAAGTACTGGTAACACTTTTGAAATTTGGTGACGTGATTCAGTGCAAATTTCTTATTCTATTTGGGAAACTTTTATTTGCTTGACATTGTTTTATATTTGGGGAACTTTTTTATTGCTTGACATTGTTTTTGCTTCGTTTCTCTTGGCTTGAAAGGAATATTATTGTTTTTGCTTTGACATGTAATTTTTGAACTTAGGATTAGTTTTGATGGTTTGTGTGTTTTTTTTCCCTGTTCTTAGTTTGTTCACACAAGAGAATGTTGTTGGGCCATGCTAGTGTCCATCTGAACTTCGTTCGTCAAAGGACCAGCTACTTGCTGATCCTGAAGCGCTGGAAGATGACTTTAAATTAGACAGTTCTGAACCGATTTTGTATGTGGCTTCCTTTGATGAACTCGCAAGAAATTATCTTCAATATGACACCATTATATGGGTTTCTATATCGTTATTGCTGGTTTTGGCTTGGGTTGTTGGCGTCATCATGTTGCTCTACTTGCCCTTTAGAAGATATGTGCTTCAGAAGGACATTTCGTCACGCAAGCTGTATGTCACACCTAGTGAAATAGTTTGAGGTATGGATAATAAAGTTTGGGCACAAGGATATAGGGTCTGAACTTATTTAAACTTCTTGGTGGTTGTCAATGAGAAATAAGTTCACTTTGAGTTTAATCCTTTCCATGCTATTATTTTGAAGGTTTCGAGGCCTTCTTTCATACCCTTTTGGGGCACAATAACAGTAGAGAAGCATGTACCTCTTTCACAGGTCATTGATAATATAATTGAACAAGGTACTTGTTCTGCACTTGATAGATATTTGGTTTCTTGTCTACTTACTTCCCTAATTTCCTTTCTCCATGTGGTGGATAATTTTGCGAGTGATAGTTCTGATTGATTTCTCATCAAGGTAAAAGAACAATTCTGTGTATTATGACCCCCTTTCCATTTATTGTTGTCTAAGAGCTGCAACTGATTTGAGTGACAAAACTTGACTGTCATTTTGTCCATGATTCATTGAATTTTCTCTCCTTTGACCATTCTTTATGATGTGGGATTCTACATTCTTGTGAATAAAATCAGTTTATTCTATTCTGATTTGTATCTTGTTTTGTCTATACTTGAGCACATAGCCAATATAAACTTTTTAGTACAGTGGTTCCTTCAGACGATTAATTTATATGTTCGGTTTTGGCAGGCTGGTTGCAATCAGTGTACGGTATCCTTACTTTCAGAGTCGAAAGCATAGCCCATGGAAAAGCGGCACCTGTTGATGAACTACAGGTTCAAGGGGTTGCTAACCCTGCACTTCTGAGAAAGGCAATGGAACTGATTTCTTATGTTATCTTTTTTCTTTCTTTCTTCTTTTCCTTAAAAGTACACCTGGGATTATAATCTTTGGAAAATGATGAGATTTATTCTCATAAACAATTAGAATGAACTTTGTTTAAATGTTCTGCTGAATTGCTGTTGTGCATGCAAGGCATCCTTATGGAGATTGAAAATCAGAAGTTCATACTTGTGTTTATGCAAAAACTTGGAGTTGTTTATGCCTGGAGAGTTGTTTATTCTCATAAACGATGCCTGGAGAGTTGCTTATGCAAAAACTTGTCGAAGTCACTAAATCAGTAAAGGTTTGCACCATCTCATTTCTCTTTATTGTATTGAGAAAAGGGTTTTGTAGGCATCGTCGGTTCTGATAATAATTAGTTGACCCAGAAATGAATGTCAGAGCTCCCAAGATGTATATTTCTTATGTGTTTTTTCATCAACCCTTGAACTAATGCTTCATTCATCCCATGCCTGGCCAGAAAATCGAGTTTCTCATCGAGAAGTCCCAAGCTTCTTCCGAGGGTAGCTGAGAAAGGTGTAGAAAGTCTCAATACCGAGAAATGGATAGATAACTTCATATCGTCGAGCTTCAAGAGACTTTTCTTTTGTTTAATAAGCAAAAGCCTTTGTGTTTCTTCTTGGTGTTCTATAAGTAGGGTTTCATCAGTTCATTGTTCCTCTTTTTCTTTGCTGTTTTTTCACTCGACAGGTAACGTTGTAACCATAGGCCTTAATCTCGGACTTTGTAAATTTTCATGTAGTAAAATTTGTACCATTGTCCAAGGTTTATGAAATCAAGTCACAAAATTATGCTTCAGTCTCTCTCTGAAAATTATTAGTTTATTAAACGTCTGAAAAATGCAAAAAAATAAATAAATAATGAAAATGGAAGTGATATAAATAAATAATCCCTTTGTATGCGTAGCCGTAAGAATTTTTTTCAAATATTATTTTATTTTAGGATAAAGTACATTAAAAGTTGTTGAATTATCTTAAAATAATTATTTTAACTATTAATTTTTGTAGAAGTTACAAAATGATTAAATTTATTAAATTATTAGAATATAATTATTAAAGTTTAATAAACTATTATAAAATAATCATTAAATTTTAATAATTAACATAAAGTAATCATTAAATTTATTAAATTTTATAATTTTATAAACGTATGATGTATTGTAGGCCTGTAAAAAGTTTATTTATGTTCGTTTATTTATTAAACGAACGAACATGAATAATATTTTGTGTTCGTTTAATAAATGAACGAACATGAACAGAGGACTCGTTCGTTCATTTACATTCGTGAACGTTCGGTAATTGTTCGTTCATTTATGTTCGTTCGTTTATGTTCATTCGTTTATATTCATTTATGTGTGTTTATTTATGTTTAACCAATCTCTCTAGACTCATTTAAAATATTAAAACCCAATAAGTTTTAATCTCATACCCATAAATATTTTAAAATTTAATTAATTTTAAATACAAATAAAAAAGACTCAAAATAATTAAATAAATATAATCCTAAAATTGTTAGGAAAGAAAAAATATATTTTCATTTATGTTCATTTACATCCGTTCATTTATGTTCGTTTATCATTTAAATGAACGAACATGAAATAATACAAACAAGCTACATTCCTTAACGAACGAACACGAAAAATGAATTTTTTGTTCGTTTATGTTCGTGTTCATTCATTTGTTCGGTTAAAGCTAAACGAACGAACATAAACATATCCTCGTTCGTGTTCGTTTAATTAGTTTACAGGCTTAATATATTGTATTTTATAATATTTAAAAGGTTAAAAAATAATAATTTAAGTATTTCAATGACTTCTTACAGACTTTATTTTATTACCCGTCTTAGCTGAGACGGACTTATTACAACTTTGAAGTCACGTGCAATCCAATAGCTATCCCACAAAGCGACAGTGAATAGTGATTAAGAATTTAAGATGCTTCCTCCCATGGGTTTCCTTCGCTAAACCTTCAGAATCCAACCAACGGTACCAGCCTTGACGAAACTTCCTACCAGAAAGGAAGAAGAAGAAGAAGAAGAAGAAGAAGAAAAAAATGTCTAGGAAGGGAGAAATGGGCACCAAGAAAGTGTTGGTAGTGGGCGGTACAGGCTACTTGGGGCAACATCTCTTGCAAGGATTTTCAGAGATCCAAGGAATTACCCCATATGAATTGGCATTCACCTACAACTCCTTTCCTCCTCGCCCTCTGCTCGACGCCTTCCCCGGATCTCTCGCTTTCCACGTTGATTTGAAAACTGGAGCTGGTTTCCATTCCATTTCTCACCAATTTGGCAAGGTTTTGTTCCCTTCCTTTCAATCTCTTTCGTACCCACTAATTCTTTTTTAAAGCTTGCGGTTTTTTGTTTAATGGCAGCCTGATGTCGTTGTGAACTGCGCTGCTCTGTCGGTTCCTCGTGCTTGCGAGAAAGACCCTGATGCCGCTACATCTATCAACGTGCCTACTTCTCTTGTAAACTGGTTATCAAGCTTCACCCAAAATGACATTACGCTTCTTATTCATCTCTCAACGGATCAAGGTCAGTGAATTTTTGGCTCTTTTTTTAAAGAATTCTAATTGTTTGATATAATGTCTGAGTTGGAAATGCCTTTTTTTCCGGATGTTGGCTTTATTCATTAGTGTATGAAGGAGTGAAATCATTTTACAAGGAAGAAGATGAAGCTCTTCCTGTTAATGTTTATGGAAAATCAAAAGTTGCAGCTGAGCAGTTCATCTCTGAGAAATGGACAAATTTTGCTATTCTAAGAAGTAGTATTATATTTGGGCCACAAACTGTATCACCTGTTCCTAAATCTCTTCCTATTCAGGTCTGAAAGCTGAAGCCCCATGTTTTATTGTTTGTCTTTTCCATTTTTATTTTGGGTAAAAACAATAACTATTGTTATTTAGTATATGCTGGTAAATGAAAATGCCTGTAGAAAAATATCAGGGCATTTGAATCTTCCAATTTTCATCCAAATAAATTTAGTGATTAAGTAGACATTGCTTGGAATGAAAACATCAATGCCGGTTTACACTCTTGTGAGTAGTTAGTACAGTAGTACACAAAGTGCGCGCCAGCAATACACTATACATGTTTCCATTCATGATTATTTCGTTAAACTGTGATTTACAACCGAGCATGTTGCAGTGGATTGATGGTGTCCTTTCCAAAGGAGATAAAGTGGAGTTCTTTTATGATGAGTACCGCTGCCCGGTGTATGTCAAGGATGTTGTGGCTGTCATCCGGACTCTGACTGAGAAATGGTTATCAGGTATGAAGCTGTTATCCGTACTTCTATTGATAAAAGTTTGTGAGCTTCTTCTTTTAGTCCTTCTGTGTCTCCTGTTTTTATAGTTTTAATTGCGAAGGAAGATTTTAGCATGAGCGTTAATCATGCTTATTGCTTCTTTACCATTGCTTTGTTTTCTTTTGGTGCATCTATTGTCCATATTCTCATTTTCACAGAGGTTGCCCCCCTTTTGCAAGTCCTTGTTGTTCTTTTACTTCTGCAAAGACATTTTTATCGGGATTTCCTTTTTCCTATTCTCACACACATATATATGACATAGCGATAATGATCTTATGTTACTTATCCCAGAGAGTAAGAAAATGCAGTTGCTACTAAATGTTGGTGGACCGGACAGGGTTTCCCGTGTTCAAATGGCTGAGGCTGTGGCACAGATTAGAGGACATGATTCATCATTAATTAAACCAGTATCTGCATCATCTGTAAGTATACCTTACAAAAGGCAAAAGCCATATAAAAGAAAAAAGTCTAATTCCACCTAACTCTGTCTATGCTATAGCTTAATCACTGATTTATGGTCTAGTGATTCATCCTTCTGCAAGGCTCTCTGATTCTAGATAGGTTTTCTGTACATGCAATAGCATAAACTGGCATGATTCCGAATTTCCTACCAGCCTCTTTTCTCTTAATTTATTCCCTTTTAACTTGGATTGTTTGCGGTATCTTGCTGGTTTATCAGGTTGACCGTGGTGTCATGTCTCCTGCTGATATATCTATGGATATCACCAAGCTGGTTCAGACACTCAATATATCACCTACTCCATTTAAAGATGGTGTTAAACTGACACTTGCTGCTGAAGCGAATTTGTGAGTTTAGTGACACCTATAGTTGCCCTTTTTTTGAAGTACTTTAGCATCTAAAAGGAGTTTAAATTTGTGTTTTGCTGGCATTTGTTGTTGATTATTAAAGAACATCCGTATAGCCTTAGTGAACAAGTTTAAATATGAAACTCTGGGTATTGAAGTATAAAACTTGTACCCAGACTGTCACATCGGTGGTCAGATAAGGTGCCTGTTGCACCAAAATTCATTCATTGCTCTGTTCTAAAGCCTAAGAGCTATTCGTTTGTTCAGATACCTTCAGAGCTATAATAAAAAATTGGGAGAATAATGATCCTGTTGGAGCTTGATGTGAAATCAGACAGTCGTGGGTGAAAATTCGTTTGCATTCTTCTCGAAAATTCATTTGATCAACTATAGTAGGAAAATGTTGAGCGACCGATACTCGTACCTTAACGTAGGCAGCAAGCATCTCCTCATATGAAATTTTGAGTGTCGATTGTCGACTTTCCCGAACGATAAATGGTTCGCCATAGGAGCCGACCAGCTGCGTCTTGGCAACTAGATAAGCTGCTGGCAGTCATGCATCAAATCGTTTGAAGCTAAGTTCTGGCTCGATCTCAAACTTAAACTCACCTAAACCTCCAAACAAATTAAATGCATATGCTTTCGAACCGCATACAATTGCACCGCAGAGACGGCTCCTATCGTCTTGAATATAAGAATAATTATTACACTTTTTGATCACTGGGATGACAGAATAAAACACGAGACACTCCCTTGAAGAAGAAACATCCAGCATCCTGAACGGTGCTGTAATTCATTCATTTAGAATCTAGAAATTCATTGTCGAGATAAGAATTGTTCAGATGAGGAAGATCAGTCTTTTCATGAGAATTTGAGTTTCAGAAGAAGCAACACGTATCAAGTTCTGGAGACCAATGTAGCTGCTGCACTCAAATTTTCAAGATCAAGCGAATCCATGTACTTGGCCGATGAGTTGTTCGCTTTAAAAGCTGATCTTTTCCCCATATGTAGAGATTTCCGCACTCTTATCTCCAAAGCACCAAGATCGAGTTAATATGGAAGCTATTTAGTGAGGATTTCTTGGCTTAATATATTATTTGGATCTTAAATTTAACAATGTTATGATATTTTAATTTTTTTTTTACCATTTTGATGCCTGAATTAGTTTTTTCTTTCTTTCTAAAGTGATAATGTGATCGTTCAACAATTAAACATGTAACACATGGTACTATTTTTGTTAGCGTTTTAATTAAATAATTTTATGTTATCAAATGATTGTTGAAACATCATGTCAATATTAGTTCGAGAATTTTTTTTTTATTAAGCTAAGGTGATTACAAAGTAGTATCTATTCTAACAATGACCGCTCAATCACCCTGCTGCAGTCGCTGATGCTCAAACTCATGACTTCTAGGAACAACAACGATTCAACCACCGAGATAATTTAGTTCATGCAATTTGAGAAAATTTTTAAAGTTGAAATGAAAAAAAAAGTGATGATTAAAAATTATCAAGATTAGAGATCAATAGATAGGAATAAATGAGTTATGCCGAATGTTGACAAATCATCTCTTTTAATTTAGACAGAATCATAATCAATGATGATATGATGGTTAATCAAGTTCAAGTTATTTTCTTCATAAGAAAGTAAAAGATGATGACGGAAGCAAAAGCTATAGTTTGTTCCCATTTAGAAATGTCTATGGAAGTGCTTTTGGCTAAAAAAAACTTGTTCGAAATGCAAAAGCAATCCCAAATACCTCAATTTTATCTAAAAATTCACATTTAAACCAAGAAGTTGGGAATACAATGCTTTGGCGTTGGAAAAATTTGTTTAGAGAAATATCTCGAACGCAACAGTCTTGCTCAATAAGTTTTTTAGTGATTCATAATATTGATGTTAAACTTAAGATTATAATAATTATCGTAGGTTGACAAGATTGATGTGATAACTATTAATTGATTTTGATTCTGACAGATCACGTAGTTCTGTCAGAGATTACGTCAAATGGTCATATTTATCATATGTAAGGCTCCAAAAATTCTTTATTCAAAAATATTCTTTTGGGAATAGATTATCCAATGATCTTGATATAATAAGATGCTAAGGTGATACAATAATAAAAGAATTAACATTGTTAAAAAAACAACTTATTAAATTTATAAATAAAAATTATGAAAAATTAAATAGTAAAAATGATATATAAAACTTAAAATTTATAATAAATAAAATAAATAAATTAAAGTAGCAACTGCGATCCATATTCCAAATAAGCGTTCGCGGTCCTACCAAATCGCACTCTCTCCCAAACACACTCAGAATTTTCCAAGAAGTATAACTTTTCCCGCTTCCACATATACTCTCCGCGCTCACACACACGACCTTCAGCCAAACAAAAATAAAGTCATCAATAAATAGATAGAACAACAAAATTATAGTAGAAGTGAATAATTCTTCATCAAAATTTAGTGTATAAATATTGAGCTAAACTCACGCTCAGAACAAAACCACCACTCTACGTTTGCAATATTTTTATCAGTGAGTTTTTTTTTTTGTGAATTTGGAAATTGAAATACGGAGCACGGAATGTGGAATCTGGCGCGATTTGTGGCGTCGAGACTGAGCCGATCGAGTCGTTGCTTCTCATCGATGATTCCTCGTCCTTGTATTATCCACAAGCGTGGAGCTGATATTCTTCATGATCCTTGGATCAACAAGGTTATTTGAGCAATCTGTTTTTCTAAATATGATCTCTGATGAATATGTTACATTTGCACTTGGAAGTAATATCCTTTTTGTTATTTTCAATTGTCTTATTGTTTTCTTATTGCTCTCTCTTTTCCTTGTTAAATTTCAGGACACTGGCTTTCCTTTGACTGAAAGGAATCGACTGGGGCTTCGTGGTCTCCTTCCGCCACGCGTGATATCATTTGAGCAGCAATATGCTCGTTTCAGTAAGTTTGAGCCTACTTATATTTTCAGAGCATTCTTAGATTTATATTAAGAAGCTTTCGATTTGAAGGCAGAAAACAATATACAAGTATCTGTGCTTTGAGTAAATGAAAGGCTAGTATCTGATCTGATTTAGATAGTAATTGTTTATTTGGATTTGAAAATTGAAAATCATTTTCCTCTATATATTGTCTTTTAGGAGATATTTTGGCCTGGTTGATCTTATCTTAATTTTTAACAATAGCCTTTATTTTGACACTGTTTTTAATCGCTAGTTGAATCATATCGCTCCTTGGAGAAAAATACACAGAACGAATTGGATATTAGTGCTATTGCATTAGCGAAATGGAGGATCTTGAACAGATTGCATGACAGGAATGAAACACTGTACTTCCGAGTAAGTTTCTTTTCTTGTCCGGGTTTCTAATATGTATACAAAACTTTTAAGTTCTGAACATCACTTGAATATTGCCTCAGGTTCTTATTGACAACATCAAAGATTTTGCTCCGATAATTTACACCCCAACTGTAGGACTAGTATGCCAAAATTATTCTGGATTATTTTGACGCCCACGAGGAATGTATTTCAGTGCCAAGGATAAAGGAGAGATGATGTCTATGATATATAATTGGCCTGCTCAAAGGGTAAGCTTCTGCAGGTTACGAATTTTCGCTTATTGCATGAAGATCTAATAATAAATTCAATTTCCTTCTGTTTTATAGGTTGATATGATAGTCTTGACTGATGGCAGTAGAATTCTTGGTCTTGGTGACCTTGGAGTTCATGGGATTGGAATACCAATCGGGAAACTTGATATGTATGTTGCAGCTGCTGGTCTCAACCCACAGAGAGTATGGGTTATGCTTTCTTCTTCTTTGTGCGTGTTTGCATGTATGTGCATGCCTGTCGTCTACATAATTTGAGCTATACATTCTTATCGGTACTTAACACCGATTAATTTGGCCTGTATCAACCATTTGCGACCATTTTCATACTTGTGTTTGGATGTTGGTTGTATTTGATATGTTTAACCATCAGTTGAAGCTCTCTGTTATATGCATGTGAACTTATTTGCAACTATTTGGTTTATATCTACCTGTAAATATTTGTTCCCTATTATTATTGTATTTTACGTTTTCAACTTTTTTTGACATGGCAACTCTCTTTTCTTGTGTTATAACTTTAATAATTCAATCAATATGTCTTTGACAGATACTCCCGGTTATGCTGGATGTTGGTACTAACAATCTAAAGCTAATTGACGACCCACTTTGTGAGTAAAATATGTATTTAATTACTTTGTTCTTATGTAGTTATTCCCTGCATAGACTGGAGCATATGAAATGCTTTCTGTTACTTTGTTTTTTTAACAGATTGTTAAGATTTCTTTGGACTTTTTTTTTTTTTGGGTTTGGACAGACTTAGGACTAAGACAACCTAGGTTAGAAGGGGAAGAGTATCTATCAATTATTGATGAGTTCATTAAAGCAGTTTTAACACGTTGGCCTAAGGCTATTATACAGGTTTCTTTCTTTCAGAAGTGAGGTTTTTGTTTTATGCTTGTAGCATGATGTTTATTTAATGGCTTCCCCATTCAGTTTGAGGATTTTCAAATGAAGTGGGCCTTTGAAACTCTGAAACGCTATAGGAGAAGGTTTTGCATGTTTAATGATGACGTGCAGGTGAGCACTTGGCTCAGCATGTTACTTATATGGACTGGATTAGTTTCTAGTGTAATGCAGATTGCTGCAGCAGTATTAGGAAGTTGTGCTTACCTTATGTCTATTAGGGAACTGCTGGAGTTGCACTTGCTGGATTGTTAGGAACTGTAAGAGCACAAGGTCGGCCTTTGGATCACTTTCCAAACCAAAAGATTGTTGTGGTGGGAGCTGGAAGGTAATTGGCCAACTTATACTAAGGTTCGGGATTTCATTCTCTCACAAGTATTCCACTGTTCCTTTGCGCCCATTCCCTCTCTGCTTTATTTCTCACACACACTTTTCTGTCTGTCATCCAGTGCAGGGCTTGGTGTTCTTACCATGGCTGTGCGAGCTGTTGCAAAGATGACAGGAAAAGCAGAAACAGCTTCCCAGAACTTTTTCCTACTTGATAAAGATGTACAGTTTTTGCACTCTAGTACTTTTCATCCTATTTGAGCAAAGCCTTTTTTGTTCTTCTAGATATGTATCTTCCTTTCTCTTGTGTAAAAAAGATGGGGAGTTCATGAATAAACAAATCAAAAAGTTCTACTAGAAAAATTATAGATAATGATTATGGTTTGACTCTAGGAATATAAATGTTTTTGCTAGTTTGTCACTTGATCCTCTGGTATTATTAATTCCGTACTCCATGTGGT